GGCTTCCATCTTATCTATGTCTTCGGGGGGTTTGCTGTTCTCCCCCTGCTTTCAGGGAGTTTTGCTGTTCTCCCCCTGCACGCTGGTTCCTTGCCCAGCCGGACCTAGGGACCTTGGCGACAGCCATTAGCCCTAAGGGTCACTGCGGGGAGGTGCAGCAGTCCTGACACTGTGCCCCTGTTGGTTGGGAAAAGGAGCTGGGTTAGCCATGGGGTCTGCAAATTCTAAGCCTGAACCGGCCACCCCTCTGGGATGCCTTCTCTCAAACCTCGATCCGCTGGGGCTTAGGCCAGATCTGCACCTCAGCGTCTCGTCTTCTCTTGCAACACTGCCCGCCTCAGTGCCCATTGGAGAATGGCTCTCACTGGCCAGAACACGGCACCTTCAATTTCTTGGTCCTTACAGACCTTAACAACTTCTGTCACCACAATGGAAAATGGTCAGAGATCCCTTATGTCCAGGCTTGCTTTTTCTTGCACTGCCGTCCCTCTCTCCTAAAAAGCTGCCACACTTTGTAAGTCCTCCTTGCCCGAGACTCCTCCCACTCTTCTCCCTCCCGTAACCCCATCCAGGACAAATAAAAACTGCCCTCTCCGGACCCCCTTTCAGCATTTTCTGATCCTCTAGATTCTCTGTCCTCACCTCCCTCAGCTCCCCAGAGACCCCTGCCTTACCCGGAACCTGCTTCAGCCCACCCTCCCTCCATGGCCCCCAACCAATCCAGCCCCCGTCCTTCACCTCCTCCTAGTCGCCACACCTGCTCTCATGATCTTCTCTTCTTTGCCCCCTTAGGGAAGTGGCAGGGACTGAGGGAGTAGTTAGGGTCTATGTTCCTTCCTCTCTGTCTGATCTCTCTCAAATCGAAAAGCATCTTGGCTCTTTCACTAATGACCCCACTAGCTACATCAAAGAGTTTCGTTATCTTACCCAAGCATATGACCTGACGTGGCATGATGTACATGTTATCCTCTCTTCCAACCTGACCTATCATGGAAAGGAACGTGTTTACCAGTCTGCTCAAGACCATGCAGATCAGGTCCACTTGATCGATGCAGCCATGCTCCCCAGCCCAGAAGCAGTTCCCCTCCAACAGCCGGGGTGGGACTACCAGACTGACACTGACGCGGCCACCAAGGCAGGGCTCACCGAGACCATTTTATTACCTGTCTCCTGTCTGGTCTCCAAGACATGGCACACAAGGCGGTAAATTTTGATAAGCTTAGGGAGATCACCCCGTCCACCTCAGAAAACCCAGCAGCCTTTCTTAGCCGCCTTACTGAGGCCCTTCAGCGGAACACTAGGTTAGATCCTGATTCACCTGGAGGTGCCACAGTCCTGGCTACTCATTTCATATCCCAGTCAGCCCCGGATACCAGAAAAAGTTTAAAAAAGCTGAGGATTGCCCCCAGATCCCTATCCGAGACCTGCTGAACATGGCCTTTAAGGTTTTTAACAACC